GTAATCTAAGGTACAGTAATCTAAGGTACGGTAAGCTAAGGTACAGTAAGCTAAGGTACAGTAAGCTAAGGTACAGTAAGCTGAGGTACAGTAAGATGAGGTACAGTAAGATGAGGTACAGTAAGCTGAGGTACAGCACTCAGTCTGTCCTGCAGTTTCGACGCTCACTGCACTCAGAGCACTGGCAGCTCTGAGTTCAGGACAAGATTTGGTTAACGCTACACCCCACCTGATGGTCACCTGACTCAATAGGAGACGCTCAGAGAAGCTTAGAAACCAAATGACACCGTTACCATCCACCAACAAACGCCCCATAACGCCTGGCCACACCCACCACATAGGGTTTGATGGCGTCACCGACGTCCTCGTCCATGTGGATGTACATGTTGAGCAGCTGCGGCAGATAGAAGTCGACCTCCTCGTGCGGGAAGCTGAACAGGCGGTTACCGATGTAGGCCTGCACGCCAGGCTCCTTAGAGTTGTGCAGGTAGGAGATCGCCATGGAGACGTCAAACAGCTTGGACTCGAACAGGCGCAGCAGCCACGACTGTTTGGAGGGGTTGTGTCTCTGCCGCCGCCGTGCGCTCTTGACTGAGCCTGGCGCCGGGCCCTCTGGGTCAGATGGCGGCGCATCTGGTCCCTCCTCGCTCTGTGATAAGGTGCTGTCGGAATCCACCTGACACAGCTTCACCTTCTGCAGCACTTCCTGACACGCCCGCTGGGCTACCTCGGCATCAATCACCAGGCTGAGCTCAGCCACTCCCTCGTTGATCACGCCCAGGGGAGGGGTAGTAGCCTGTGGGGGGCCGCAGGAAGAGGACGGCGTGGAGGGAAGAGACAGCGAGGGCGAGGAGGAGATGGAGATGGAGGGCGAGGGGCTGTTCTGATCCGAGTGGACGGGGGAAAGATCCAGCTCAGCATCCTCCATCATGGCTGCCAGTTAGCTCCACCCTCTGGCACTGAAAGACAGAGAGGTCAAAGGTCAGGCTGTGTGTTGTCAGATCAGCTGATTGGTCGATTGGCGAGCTAGGCACCGGTCACAGGAATGACGGCATGTTCACAACCATCAGACAACATCATCAACTGATCAATCTGCTGATCAATCATGCATTAAGAAACAGGAAGTGCTAATCTGCAGATCCCAATCAGGATCAATCAATCACCGCTCTGCTGCTCAAAGACATAACAAGCAGGAGGAACTATTTTCTGTCTACGTCTACACTCGCCGACCACAGGAAGCGTGCAGCTCGCTCACGTCACAGCTGAGGAGAGAGACTGTCTGAAACAGTTACAGGTGAGAGCGCACCTGAGCAAGTCTCTGAGCTTCAGCCATATCAAATAATCAGTTACTGATCAGAGAGACTGCCCTCTATAAAACAAGCTCAGTCACACAGCAGGTGTGATGCTGGGGTGGGTGTGGTTTGTGTCCCTGATCCCTGGGATGTGCGCTCCTCACATCATCAATAAATCCGGCCAGGCATTCACATGAGGGGCGGAGTCTGCATGTGATCAATCATTAACAGGTGATTTACAGAGAAGAAATAATAAAAAAGCAGAGTGAGTCACCAGGACAGGTGTGTGTGTGTGTTTTAAGTTTGACAACCCCTGTCCGCTCAGTTTGATAACCACGCCCTGTGACTGATGACGTCAGGGGCCTGATAGGGGCAACCTGAGTGCGTTGAACTGGTTTCAAGTCAGGTGAGACACCTTCAAAACACCCACACGTTTATCTTTTTAGCCCCACCTCAGACCACTTGAGCTGTACAGACATGACCTCCCAGGGGTCAGAGGTCATCGGGACCAGAAATCAGCTGTTAGCCTGGCATTAAACTAACAGGCCATTTGATGGCTGACCGTCAGCTGTCCCAGTGACCCTATTCTAGCTCTGAGGCCGCTGTTCCCCATATTTGCTTTGGTACTCTAGTCAGCTGACCGTCACCAGGCCGTTAGTCAGCTGACCGAGCGGCTCTATTAGCTGCAGCCTATTAGCCTAGCTTAGCATTAGCAGGCCAACTGTTGCTGCCTGCGCGCAGTCCCCTTTTAAAGCTCCGTGCTAAGCTAACATTAGCAGCGGTGCGGGGACAGGTGAGCACAGCCGGTGTGCTAACATGTCCAGGTGTTCCCAGGTAAGCTCTTCTTACCTGGTGATGGCTCAGTGCGCGTGAAATTATGTTTTAAATCCAGCTCGGGTCCATTGATAGAGTCCGGCCATCGTCTCAGCCGCTGCTTCTCTTCTTCCTCTGCGCTCCTCGGTTCTGTGGAGATCACCGTGTCTGAGCAGCGCCCCCTGAGGCGGTGAACGGCCATTGCAGCGCCTCAAACCATCACAGAAATCCCCCCAGCAGGGTCATTTCAACACAGGGCCGATTTTAGCCCATTTTTCGGGGTGCTTAAGCACCCCCAAAATGAATCAAAGCACCCCCAAAGATTTCTCTTTTTTTGACAATATTTGCTGTTTGTGTGACACACTACTAAAAATATAAAAAAGCATACAGTACTGTACTTGTTTGAGACGTTACATTTTAACAACAAAAATATAGATAAAATGGTTTGTTCCAGCTCTCCCCTGCTCTGGCTCTAACGCCGTTGCTGCCAGAGCTATGGTGGCTGAGACGCAGCGGAGCGGAGGCGTAAGTGCCTGGCTTAAAACAGGACATATTACCGTAGCTGCATTTAACCTTCAGTTACTCTTTATATAGTTGGTAGGAGTCAGACCATGTTTCTTTTTAGCTGAAAAACATTACACCAGGTAACCTGCAGTGTTGAAAACGTGTTT